TACACTTTGACAATAAAAAGGAAATCACAGATATATGGTTGGGGAACACCTGGCTTGAAAACAGAACATGTGGAAGATATCTAGGAGTCTTAGCAGACCATAAGCCAAACATGGGTCTTGCTAGAAATGCACGTGCAGTGCATTGTCAGTGTAGAAAATGCTTTAATGTTTTATTTAAATATTTATGTATTTCATTGAGTCCTACTTCCAGAGAGTGGAAGTCTAAAAGCAGGGTCTAAAAATCAGTAAACATTATTATTATTATTATTATTATTATTATTATTATTATTATTATTACTATTTAAGTTCACGTTTACTTACACTTATCTTTATGCCTATAGATGTATAGATATTTTCTGGCTATGTGTGTTATTTAGGCATTGGTGGTTACTGTTTTTACACAAAGTGAAAGACACCTGTATTCTTGTTACTGGACATCTCTTAATATACATTTTTCTTCAAAGACATACATACCTTTCTTAATCACAACCAATGTATGATAGAGTTGGACTTACATGTTCTTTCTCAGTTTTGTATTTACCTAGTTTACAGTTGTAACTGTGATGATTTGCTGGTTTATATTTACATATTTTCAGAATATTCTATCTTTAATAATAAACTAATGGCTATGATTTTAACAAACATACCAGTTAGAATTTAGAAGTTTGATGTTGCCTTGTTTTATGAATTAGTCTTTAACAATCCCTTTTGGGTTGCCTTCTCATTAGTTGATAAATTAGTTTTAATCATTTAAGAGCTTCTCTTGGAGAAATACCCAAATCTAAATCCCCTTGTGCATTTGACATAAATTGACACATTTTTGATTAGTGTGTTCAGTGTGTTTTGTTCCTCAGGTCCTTCTTTCCTTTTTTGTATAACTACAGATTTGTTAACAGGGTCAGAAGCCAAATAGTTGCTATGGGGAATGACCTTTTTAGAAGGGATTGAAATACTTTAATTATAGGACCCAGTGAAATGTGAACATTCATTTTCCTAGGTGTCGGCAGCGGCCAGGAGCATCTTTGCACAGTTAAAACTCGAGCGCCAGCTGCACCCGTACCTTGAGACACCAGACTTGGCCATGGTAGTCCATGCCTTAGTCATATCCCGTTTGGACTATTGCAACACTCTCTACGTGGGGCTGCCTTTGAAGATCGTTTGTAAGCTACATCTAGTCCAAAGATTGGCAGCCAGGTTACTAACTGGGGCCCCGTACCGGGAGAGAACGACTCCCATGCTACGGCAGCTGCACTGGTTGCCGGTCCGCTTCTGGGCTAAATACAAAGTGCTGGTCATTACCTATACAGCTCTAAACAGTTCGGGTAGGCTATTTGTGTGATTGCATCTCCCTATCTAGGATATCTCGTTCAGGACATCTCGGTCAGCAGAGGAGACCCTATTCTCGGTCCCACCTCTGTCTCAAGCATGGCTGGTGGGAATGAGAGAGGAGGCCTTCTCCATGATCGCTCCCTGTCTCTGGAACTCCCCACCTAAATAAATAAAAATGCCCCCCACCTTCCTCTTCTTAAAAAAAACTCTTGAAAGCGTATGGAGAGGAGGAGGACTAGGACACTTTAAATTAATGCCATTAGATCGCTGGCTAACCTAATTCTACCTCGTGGCAGCTATGGTACACTTTAAGTGAACACCTGCAATAGCCATTTCTAATTGTATTTTAATTGTTTTACAGGATAAATGTTTTTAATGTTAATTCATGTTATTAGTGTTATTATGTCTTATTGGATTATTTTTATTCTGTTTTCATTTCTATGTTAATTCTTTTGTTATAAGTTTATTGTTATTATTTTGCATTGCTTTGGATTTTTGGTAAGTGTGTATTTATTTAGGTCATTGAATGTTTGCCTGTGTGTAGCCCTCCCTGAGTCCCTTTGAGGAGCAAGGTTGGTTTCAGAATAAATAAATTATTTATTTATTTATTTATTTCTGTTCTCTGTGTTGCCAGTCTCTATTGTGGAGATTATTTTATTTAATGTTCAGACTAGTACTTGGTTAAAGAATGTCCAGTTACAGTTGTTTATTATGTGAATTTGAATCTAAATCTAATTTTTAGTCCCAATTAGAATACACCAGTTGAGTCAATGGGAACATAAGTCAGCTGTTTTGTAAATTCCATCAACTCAGTGGGCCTCCTTTATTTGGGAATAACAATGGGACTTGGACATGAATTTATTGATCTAAACATGTATATGAGCACAAGCAGTTGCGCTGAAAAAGAAAATGTATTTTCTTTGTTTTGGTCTGAAAACATCAATCAACACTGATTATAACAAACAAACAAAAAGCTGCTGTGTTGGCCCATGAGAAAAAAACAAAAGAACAGGAAGCATTGGTGTAATTCTAGAATCAGGATTTCAAACTGGTTTGTCCACATTTACAAAGTCCAACTTTCTTCAAACAGGTGGGGTGACATGTTGGCATTTACTTTATTGCCATTTTCCCTCCTGGCCAGTATAATTCAGAACATATCCCACTGAGCTGTCGAGTTTCCAGTTTGAGGTGGAAAGCTTGTGGTAAAAACTTCCAATAGAAGTGTTTTAGGAAAGATAAACTTTCTATGAGGTTTGGAAAACCAAAAGGTCTTCTCTAGCAACACAGCAGCTGCCCTGTAATGTCCCACTACTCACATTATTTATTTGTGTATTTGTGCTGTTTGTACCCTGTGACTCAAATTTGTATGAAATTGCTAGAATGGCTATAAATAAGAAAGGGACCACTGAGAAAATGCATGTAATTATGTAGTCCTCCCTCTCACCACCATTAGATGCAGTAGCTGTCTCCCTTTTGCAGGTATAAGGAATGCTTGTTGGGTGAGAGCATTGTCTGCATTTATTTATTTCTTTATTTACGATATTTCTAACCTACCTTTCTCGAACCCGAAGGTGACTCAAGGTGGCTTACAAGTAGGCAGCAATTCGATGCCTAACAATATACAATTAACAGAATTAAAAATGCATTCAATAAAACATATAAAACCAATGCCTTCATTGTTAGTCTCATTGTCCATAAATCGTCGTATGAGCCGTTCCAATGTTCACTTTCGTCTAATACCGTGTTTGAATGTATCATTAGATTCTGAAGGCTTGTTCAAATAGTCACAGTTTCACTTTTTCCTGGAAGGTCAAGAGGGTGGGGGCTAATCTAATAACCCTGGGGAGGGCGTTCCACAACCGAGGGACCACCACTGAGAAGGTCCTGTCTCTTGTCCCCGCCAGTCGCGCCTGCGAAGAAGGCGAGACCGAGAGCAGGGCCCCACTGAACTATCTTAAACTCTTAGATGGTTCATAGGGAGAAATACGTTTGGACAGGTAAGCTGGGTTGGAAGCATTTAGAGCTTTATAGGCTAAAGCCAGCACTTTGAATTGTGCCCGGTAGCAAACTAGCAGCCAGTAGTAAAGTTGGCGTAGCAGAGGGGTTGTATGCTCCCTGAATGCCACTAAATGCTCGTTGGACCATTTGAAGCTTCCGAACAGTCTTCAAAGGCAACTCCATGTAGACTAGCGCATTGTAGTAGTCCATACGGGATGTAACCAGAGCGTGGACTACCATGGCTAAGTCAGACTTCGCAAGGTATGGGTGCAACTGGCGCACAAGTTTTAATTGTGCGAATGCTCCCCTGGCCACCGCCAAGACCTGGGGTTCCAGGCTCAGCGATGAGTCCAGGAGAATACCCAAGCTGCAAACCTGCATTTCAGGAGAACTCTAACTCCATCCAACATAGGCTGTAACCCTATGCCCTGTTCGGTCTTACGACTGACCAAGAGTACTTCTGTCTTGTCTGGATTCAATTTCAGTTTGTTCACCCTCATCCAGACCGTCACAGCTGCCAAACACAGTTCAGGACCTGAACAGCCTCATTAGTAGCAGGTGGAAAGGAGTGATAGAGTTGAACATCATCTGTGTACAGGTGACATCAAACTCCAAAACTTTGGATGATTTCTCCCAGTGGCTTCATGTAGATGTTAAACAACATGGGAGTCAGTATTGACCCCTGCGGAACCCCACAAGACAATGGTTGTGGGGCCAAGAAGGTGTCCCCCAATAACAACTTCTTGGAATGGCCTTCTAGGAAGGACTGGAGCCACTGTAAAACAGTACTCCCAAGGCCCATTCCCACAAGGTGATCCAGAAGGATACCGTGATCTACGGTATCGAAGGCCGCTGAGAGGTGCAGCAGAACCAACATGGACACACTCCTCCTGTCTAGTTTCCGGCATAGATCATCCACTAAGGCAACCAAGGTTGTCTTGGTACCATGTCCCAGCCTGAAGCCAGACTGTGCCAGATCTAGATTATCTTGACTGTATATGTGTATTTGTAAAACATTTGGACTTGTATGTCAGTCTTGCTTATCAAACTTTTCCCACCTTAAACACTTTTTAATAGTAAGGTCATTCATTAAGCCAGATGATTTTATTTTCTTCCTGTGTTCTTACCTTTTCAAATAAATACCTCACTGATCTGTAATGTAATGAAATGGCTTACTGTTGCTGATAATTATACATTACATTATAGTGAAAATCTGTTTTGTGGCATATCAAGTTCCCAACTTCAAAGTCTTCTGTTGTTATCGTAACATCCTGGTGGCTTTGGTTGAAAACATCTGATAACTGATTTTTTACTAAGCAGCTCTGTAGAACAAGGAAGCAGAAGCAAATATAATAAAATAGATAGGCATATATTTCTAAATAAACTTTGAACAAATAAGGAACTCTTTTGTGAAATAGGAGTTTATAGTTCTATCATTATATGCCTGTAGTAAGAGGGGTGTGCTTCATATTGAGAAAACTGGTAGAGGCACCCACAGATTAAACCAAGAATAGTCTGAAAATATTTGGAAAACAAAGTTTGATAAAAGAAAACTTGGGAACCCTCAAGAGCCAAGCAAGAGCTATCTACTTAATGTATGCCATTTGGGTATGTAACAAGTTTAGTGGCTTACGAGACTAGCATGAGCATTTTTTTCTTCTTCTTTTAACCAGATGGTTGATTCTACCTTAGCAGAAATGGGAAAGAATCTCAATGAGGCTATGAAGCTGCTTGAAGATAATCAAAGGTACTTATTGGTAAAAGCATTGATGGACAGTTAGGGCTGTAGCAAGGATATTGCTGATTGTAATGTTTTCGTTCATGTTAGCAAAGCTGGAAATCTATATCATTTGGCTATATTAAAATTATAGGCTTGTCCCTTTCTTGACTTGTAATGGACATTTAATCATTATGTATGTGAAATGCCAGGAACTAAAAAACTATGTAGCTAGCTAGTGTTTTATAAACAAGACTATTTTGTCTGTCCCTGCAATCCTAGATTTGGAACTGGGAAATTAAGCTGGGCAATGCCTTTCTGCATGATTTCAGGAAAATTAGGACAAGTAAAGGGTCATGGGAATGGAAAGTTCTGGATCCCCTTTCTGACTTAATATCTGTGTATCAAACTGTTGTTGGAGGTAAAGGGACAACATGAAATGAGGGAATCTTCCTCACTCTGCCATCCTTCATTGTGCCAGCTGACATTAATTTTAGAAGACACAGTTGGAGCCATGCTCTTGGAGTCTCTGGTCTAGCCAGCGTGGTTGCTGTAGGCTGAGAAATCTATTCCAAACAAAATACCTATAAATAAACCTCTAATACACAAAGCCTGAGGGCAGAGATGTACAGGTGAGGCTGTGCCAATTCTTAGTCACTGGCATTCATAGTCAGACAATGTGTTGAACAAAGGCCTTCACTCCAAAGTTGCAGTAGAGAGAGAGCTTTTCTATCTTAAGCCTTTACTGAAGACAGGGATAGTTTGCAGGTTTCCTTGCAGATGCTGTAGCTGTGAGTAAAGCATAGTTTTGACGCTGCATGTGAAGGCGTAGTTGGCATTATATACAATATTTAAAGATGCTAACAAATAAAGTAGAAGCAAATGAAACACTTGTGGGATCATTCAAATTTTAGTTAAATATTTCCAACCATATGTTTAAGACGTGTGTTTACTGTCAGGGTTGCATTTCCAGTTCTATAAACTTTGTAGGCCTGGACTTTGGCTTTTATAGCAAATTTTGACCTAACCCAATTGTTAGTTTCCACTAAAGTGACTCATTGCATCAAAAGAATTTACATAAATGACATATCAAAATCTCACTGACTGAAAGGTTTTAGAAAGCGTATTTGAAAATTGTAATGTTTGCATTACTAAGTTACAATGCTAAGTATTTTGGAAATCTCTTAATGAATCATGAAACGAGATCATAGTCAATATTTCAAATGTCATTTGGCTGCTTGCATACAGATATTTTTCTTTCTAAATCAAGATACAGTGAAAATGTTGTTTGCATCCACAACCTGTAAATTTACTCACATGGTTGTATGCTTAAATTAGGAAAGTGGAGGAAGAAAATGAAAAAAAGTATACAAGAAAAGATATTCCTGGTCCACTTCAAGGCAGGTAGGTGATAGAGTCATGGATCCCTGTTTTTTTCTTTTCTTTTTTCTATATGTAGATCACTTTTTTTAGTTTTTGGAAGTTAGGTATTATGTTGTCTATGACGAGACTGATTCAGTTGCTAGAGCAAAGTTTTGCGTTCAGATGTTTCCAGATTTGGTTCCTCATGTTTCTGGATCTCAACCATTAGGACTATGAAAGCAATCCTATCTAAAATCTTTGACTTGTTATCAATTAGACAATGGGCATTTTTCTGGCATGAGTTATGCTCAAGTGCAAAATGTGCAAAACCACAACAATTCTTATTGCTATTTTCCTTCTACTTTCAGCATAACTATTTGGAAGAGGGAGAAGACTTTTAGTTTTCATGCTAAACAAAAGGCTTAAAACTAATTATAGCTAGTTTCAACAAGCTTCATAATTCATGGTTTACAGTTGGCTTGTTTGAAATAGAGTATGGTTAGTATTTATTGCAGTTTGTCACTCAATGCAATATGAGAGACTAGTTTGAGTAATTCTGAAGATTGGAAAGTCCTCTTTGCTGCACAAGACAAAGGTGCAGGCCCGAAGTTCACTTCATCTCTTACATATCGTGATCATATGAAATGTATTGTGACAAGTCCTGGGCCACATGAAATATTGGTCTGATAAGGCAGCTACATGTATTATGCTTTTGATGTGGCCAAGATTTGATTAGAGGTGTCAAAACTGAGCTTGATAGATTGGTGGCTGATACTTTTCCACCCAGACATTAGCAAAATAGACTACCTCTTGTTCCATGTTATTCTGACACATGGTACAAACCAGTAATTTTATATGTTCCTCTTGTTCCTGCCAATAAGAGCTCAAAGCAAATACATCACTGTGGGTGTGTTTGTGTTTCTAACGAACCAGAGGATGAGAAAAGAAGTATCCATGGTGTTTTCAGGGTCCCCAGAGTATCATTCTGCTGTGTTACAGTACCATAATGCACATTATTGGTTCAGAGTTTAAGATGCTATGTTTATAATGTGCTGCATTGTGGATGTGGTTATCCAAAGCCACTTACTATAAACTGTTGGAAGCTCATTTTCTGTTATATTCAATTGACCTTATTTTGCAATCATTCCAAGAATCTTATTTTTATTTCCTTCTTTCTCCAGTGGGCAAGACATGGTAAGCATTCTGCAGTTGGTTCAAAACCTTATGCATGGAGATGAGGACGAAGAATCACTACAGTCTTACCGGTACTTATTAAATGAGAATAATTGATGCCTGTATAGATTATTGGTGATGATTTTAATGTATTGATGATGGTTTTGTTGATCATAATTTCTCATGGGTTTCTGGCTTGTAGGCTTCAGAATGTTGGCGAAAAGGGTCACATGGCTCTTTTAGGACACAGCCTGGCGGCTTACATTTCAGTGCTGGACAGAGAGAGGCTGAGAAAACTTACAACTAGGATCCTTTCCGATACAACTTTGTGGCTTTGTAGGCTCTTCAGGTATCTGACAGTTTAAATGTCTTCTGCTCTTCTTTCCCCTCCTCCATTTCTCAATAAGTGCATCTCAAAGAAACTTGCAAATGATTTTAAACGATCATACGTGCATGTGTGCATGCAGATGTGCATGTAATCAAAATGCAAACCAGTGGGACTTCTGCCATGTTTGTCCTGGATTCAAGATAGATATATCAAGAGCAATAGGTTTGTTAATTACTGTAGTGTGTGCATATCTGTTTGTATGCTATCCAAAAACCAACCTATAGAATTAAAGCACTTAAGATGCATTAGGGGGTGTACTATATTTGTCCTAAAAGTGGCATTAAGGTAAAGGTTTCTCTTGACATTAAGTCTAGTTGTGTCTGACTCTGGGGGAAGCCGAAGAACCGGCATTGTCTGCAGCCACCTCCAGGGTCACTTGCCAGCATGACTGCATGGAGCGCCGTTACCTTCCCGCCAGAATGGTACCTATTGATCTACTCAGATTTGCATGTTTTCGTACTGCTAGACTGGCAGAAGCTGGAGCTAACAGCAGGGGTTAACCCAGATTCAAACCACCAACCTTTTGGTCAGCAAGTTCAGCAGCTCAGCGATTTAACCTGCTGTTCCACCAGGGACATTACAAGGAATGTAAATAATGGATGCCAAAATACACTTTTATACATAGTACATTTTCCCCACCCCTGTATGTTATACATTAGGCAACTTCATTTTTTAAACAAGCTTAACAAGGCAATGTTCTCTGCAGAGGATGTGTTCAGTTTTGCTTTAAAACAGGAGTGTTTCTTTTTTTTTAAACAGGGAGTGACTTCACATCACTCTCACAGTTTAAGAGTACATAACAACATAACCATGGGAGAAAAGGGATAAAAGTAAATAAATAAATAAATAAAGAAATAAATAAATAAATAAATAAATAATGTGATTCAAAATGGGCAAGCTGGTATCTTCTCAGAAAGTTCATATTTAATTATTTTATATTACAGATTTGAAAACGGCTCAGCATATTACCATGAAGATGACCGTGACGGCATTCTAAAAATCTGCAGACTTGTTATTCATTCACGCTATGAAGACTATGCTACCGAAGGCTTTAATGTACTATATACCAAACAACCAGTGATATACATTAGTTCTGCAGCCAGGTCCGGCTTAGGCCAGTCTCTTTGCAATCAGGTAAAATGGAATTTGTTGGTTTTTATCTTCAAAGCTTGGAAATACTACTATCCAAGATGGCTAGGGCAACCCTAAGTATAAAGTTTAGGGCAGGTACTGGTTAAATGGCCTTGGAGGGCTACATCCAGCCCACAGGCCTTTGTTTGGGGATCCCTGGTCTATTGAAATGCACATTCTGCTTTGAATCCAGTATGGCTATCATCACACCTCTACTCCACTCTTCTGTGTGCTTTGGCATTTTATCAATCTGAATATTGTTGCTGCCTTTTTATTTATTTATATTTATTTATACGCTTGTATACCGCTAATATCTCAGCCTAAGTCGGCGACTCATTGCGGTTTACAACAATTAAAAAACAGTATTCAATTTAAAACATAAACACATATACAATACAAATTATTGGGCCACCAATAATAATCCCATGCATCTCGTAACTAAAATCACAATCCAAAATTCGTCGTCCATGATTACCAGTCCTTTAGTCATCAAAATTCGTTGCGACGGATTAACCGAATGCTTGTTTAAACATCCAAGTCTTCAATCTCTTCCGAAACAGCGAGGAGGCTGATCGTACCTCTATAGGGAGGGTGTTCCAAAGCCGAGGGGCCACCACAGAAAAGGCCCTGTCTCTCGTTCCCGCCAGCCGCACTTGTGAAGCAGGCGGGATAGAGAGCAGGGACTCTCCAGAAGATCTTAGGGTCCTGGTGGGCTGATAGGCTGAGATACGTTCGGATAGATAAGTTGGGCCAGAACCGTTTAGGGCTTTAAAGGCCAACGCCAGCACATTGAATTGAGCCCGGTAGCATATCGGCAGCCAGTGGAGCTGGTGCAGCAGAGGAGTTGTGTGCTCCCTGCGCTCCGCTCCTGTTAGTATCATGGCTGCCGCCCGTTGGACTAATTGGAGCTTCCGGCGTCTTCAAAGGCAACCCCACGTAGAGAGCGTTGCAGTAGTCTATACGGGATGTAACCAGAGCGTGGACTACCGTGGCCAAGTCAGACTTCCCAAGGTACGGGCGCAGCTGGCGCACAAGGTTTAACTGTGCGAATGCTCCCCTGGTCACCGCTGAAACCTGGGGTTCCAGGCTCAGCGATGAGTCCAGGATCACACCCAAGCTGCGAACCTGCGTCTTCAGGGGGAGTGCGACCCCGTCTAACACAGGCTGTAACCCTATACCCTGTTCGGCCTTGCGACTAACCAGGAGTGGCTTTTTTAAAAAGTGGCTTTTTTAAAAAGCCACTTTGTTTAAAATGTAAGACCTTGCTCATGTGAAAGAGAAGACATTGCCATAAGTCTTAGTGCTGGAAACAGGAAAAACTACTAGCTACTAAACTCAGTTTAATTTGGAAGCGTCCACAAAATCTGGGCTAAAAGAGAACACTGTAGTTGACAGGCTGCTCACCACTCAGTATAAACCCCTGTGTGTATATTTCAATGAAGAAATGTAAAATGCATTCCTGAAATTAACAAATCAAGCTAGAATTAACATTTGTGCCTCTCTTTTCTCCTCAGCTTGGCTTACCCCTCTCGTGCATGTGTCATGTGCCTTGTAACACTATGTTTGGTTCTCAGCATCAAATGGTAAGTTTGATTTTTTTTCTTTAAAAAGCCAAAGAAGCACCATGTCTTATACTTTTGGATATAAAAATAATTTCCCCTCTGTTTGATAACAGGATGTTGCATTATTGGATAGACTGATTAAGGATGACATTGAATCTGGGAAGCTGCCAATATTACTAGTGGCCAATGCTGGTATGTAGCTATTTCTACCTCTCTGTGCCCAAGAATCCTTCAGATTATTATTGTGAATGAATGGGAATTAGCAGATTGCAACATTCTAATGTTTTGTCATTATCAAACCTCATTTTTACTAAGCTGATAAACCCAATTTGAGGATGTTATTAATTTAGGTAGAGGTTTACATTGAAGAATGCTCTTCTGTAGTATAAAAAATTAATCAGCCCTGAGTGTAAAAGTTCCCTTCTTTTAAATGAAATCTGGAATTCTATCTGAAGCCAAAACATTCTCATCCATTTGTTGTCAAAGGCTTTCATGGCTGGAATTACTGGGTTACTGTGAGTTTTCTGGGCTATATGGCCATTTTCCAGAAGCATTCTCTCCTGACATTTCACTCACATCTATGGCGGGCATCCTCAGAGGTTGTGAGGTCTGTTGGAAATTGGGCAGGTGGGGTTTATCTGGCTACCAGTATTTTTTAAAAAAAACTCTGAAATCAGAACAGTAAAGAACAACACTCAGAAAACAGGGGAATTCCAGACAAGAAACAATCAGGGCTAGCTAGCAGCTCCTAACAAAGGATTCCCCCAGGCAGGAAGCACCGAGACTTTGAAGCTGATAAGCTATTCAGTGCTTATCAAGCTGGCCAGTTGCAACATTCACACTTGCTTCCAACAGACAAGAGTTTTTTCTCCCACCCTCGACATTCCCCAAATATACAAACCCCACTTGCCTAGTTTCCAACAGACCTCACAACCTCTGAGGATGCCCACCATAGATGTGGGTGAAACATCAGGAGAGAATGCTTCTGGAACATGGCCATACAGCCTTGGAAGGTCATAGCAACCCATTCTCATCCAACTTGAAGGCATACCTAGGGAGGCATAGCTAAACGATGAAGGCCTCTATTAGGATCGGGATTGTCACTGCCGAAATCAATAAGACTGCATGAGGAGCTCTTGGCTGATCAGAATCTGGCCCAAGTTTTTTTTTTGGTACGAGTAATATTTATTTACTATATTTCATCCCTGTTCTTCTCACCCCGAAGGGGATTCAGAGCGGTTTATAGATATGGCAAGATTCATTGGAGACAAGAGAAATAATATAGCAAGTTACATTGGAGATGAAAGAAAGACAGCAAGGAGATAGGTCATTGTGCCACCTCTAATGAACAACATTTTAACATTTACTTAGCAATACATAAGTTGGTGGTTTTCTTTCAATACAGGTACGCCAGGAGCAGGCCATACTGACAAGCTGGGCCGATTGAAAGAACTCTGTGAGCAGTATAGTATGTGGCTACATGTAGAAGGGTACACTCTAGTTCTTAATTTTCATGTAATGTGGTAATGATCATGTGTGCTTCTGGTGGGAGCTGTATAAAGAGAAATGGTCAATTGAAGGCATTGAAAAGGAAATGCATTGCTGTTGTGGCACGCTGGTGGGTATTCTTCTTCCTATAATGCCATCCCTCAGTAATGGCATTTGCCAAGCTAAAGCTCATGGGCTCATGTAGCCCTTTCTGGGGTGTCCACTCTATAACTCTACCTGGAAATGGCATAGATTGAACCCAGGAACATTGATATGCAGAGTTAGGTATATGAATCATGTGGGGTGAGGTGAATTCAGCTTCTTCCCTCAGTCATAACACCAAAACTTAATATATTTATTAAGAAATCTTGCCCCTTCCCAAATTTCATGTTTTTTATTAAATATTTTCCAATGCAATAAAAAGATTAGGAAGTGTGCAAAGCGATGTGCTCTGTTTTCTGGCTCACATCCTCAGAGCAGCCCAGTGAGGTAGGCTCGGCTGAAAGAGAGTAACTTGCCCAAGATTAATCCATTGGGAACTACATCTCCCAAATCCCAGTCTACCAGTCTGTAACTACTACATTGTATAAATGTATATGGTGTTGCTTGGAACCACTCATACAATCTGTGAGTATGTGAGAAACTAACGTGTTTGCATGAAAGAAATAATTTCCCACATGGTCCACAGATCCACTTAAAAGATCTGAACGGCATTCAGTCAGGCTCCACTTTCTGCTTTGACAGTAAGAAAATAAATAATATGGATAGTAGAGTTGGGCCCAAATCACTGTTAACAAAAAGATTTGTAGTTTTCAGAGGACCATTTTTGTGTAATTTCCAAAAACGGAAAGGGGAAGAGAGAGAGAGAGAGAGACAAAAGACCAGTGAAACGAATTCGGAGAGACAACATTCTTGGAAATAGTAAAGTCCACATAATACCTGAGGCAGGGAGATCTGTGGTGTCTTTTTCTCTCCCTGGCAGAAGGAGCCTCCTCCATTTTATCTTGGAAGGTTACCTTCTCCTCCAGAGAGAGCCATTAGAACTTGCTTTCCCAGTGGCACTAGCATAGGATGGCCATTGAAAGTTCCTCTCGGAGCATGGGAATTGAAGTCCCTCTCTCTCAGTATTTCTCAGCCAATAAAAAGCCTGGTGGTGTCCATGCTCTCATTGGCTGCGAATGGACACAACCGACAACTACAATTCCCAGAACCTTCTCTTGTGGTTTGTCTTATTTTTAAAAATGTTATGTTTAAAACTTAAAATAATTCTTTAAAAAATCAGTAGATTGGTGAATTGTTTTGAAACTTGGCAGGCCTGCTGCTGTAAATGGGGTCTACAACTGAGGTAGGTGTCATGCAAATAGGCCTTAAAATAGCTGAAGATTGAGCCTTTAAAGTTTCCCATTGTAGCCTATGGACCAAATCTCTGTTGAATGAAATGGAAAACACCCCTCCCCTTTTGGGTAACTTTCCAATCAGCTGGAGAGGCCCTGCTCTCAATCCCACCACCATTGCAAACGTGACAGAAACAGATCCCAAAATGATATGCCTTTTGGCCCGAATGCACATGACTAGTAGATAGGAGTTAGAACTTGAAAATTTTGGATCGTAGCTTCCCGAATCTCTAACATAGCCTAGCCATTAACTTTGAAAGACACTCTGTCTCTAGATACACCATCCCTTACAATAATCACATTTAAATGAATGGAATTTGTGCTATTAGTGATTAACTTCTCCCATTGACTTTAGTGTATCTATTTTAGGGCAAGCTATAGTTGGTCTTACTTCTTAAAATGTAAGAGGTTAACTGAATCAACATAGACATTCTTTTTCATTCTGGAATTTTTGTTTCTGTTGCAGGTACTTTGAAAGTAAACTTACAAAAGCTAACTTTCCTAAAAATGTGTTTGGAAAATTTTGAAAAGAAAACCTTGGAACCAAGATGTTGCATTTAGCAAAAGAAAAAAAATGTTAATATTCCACCTCACCTAAGACTATGTGTTTGTGTTTTTCCTCAGGGTAAACTTGGCCACCTTGGCTTTGGGCTACGTCTCCTCATCTGTACTGGTATGGCTCTATGTTTTCATCCCTGCATTTGTAGTGAAATTCTCAGATCTCTGCTTGAGAGCTTCAAGCAAATATTGAATTATTGATAATCTTATTTTAGTTAAATATGTTGTACATGACAAATGGGATAAGTTTCCTGAGCTCTGAAAGCAAAGACTGATTACCAATTATCTTTCAAGTGTCATGATGGTTTTTCTTCCTTCTGCAAATACAGATATAGATTACAAGGGGAGCTCAAATCCTGAAAAGTAATGTTACGTGCATGAGACATTGTGGATTGAATATCTTTTTACTTAAATAAAGTGAAACCCTTGGTATTTGGATTGGATCTGAAAAGTAAAGGATCATTTTAAACACTGCCAAAATTAGAAATCCCTCCATGGATGAGAATATGCAAGCCTTTGTTTATCAGATTGTATTGTACAGAACTGAGAAGAATCAGTGCTATGCTAAGAAAAAATGTTAGCATATTTTTGGGATATTTATGTGGTATTCAAGTAATCCAGACATCACATGAACAGCACGTTCTGTGAATAATGGGTCACTTTGACATTCCCCTGGTGGTGCAGCAGGTTAAACTGCTGAGCTGCTGAACTTGCTGACTGAAAGGTTGGCGGCTCAAATCCGGGGAGTGGGGTGAGCGGTTTGAAAACATGCAGATGTGAGTAGATCAGTAGGTACCACTTCTGTGGAAAGGTAATGGACCTCCATGCAGTCATGACCTTGGAGATGTCTACGGACTACCCCAGCTCTTCAACTTCGAAATGGAGATTAGCACCACCCTGCAGAGTCAAACATGACTAGACTTAATGTCAGGGGAAACCTTTACTTTTTTGATGCTAAAGTTCAAGCAGGAATGGCTATCTGACTTTTGAACTTCCGCCTCTCTTCACATGTAGAGAAGAGCAGCTTCTGATGACAGTTTGCAACAAACAACAGTTCGCAGTTCTGTCTGAATGTAGCAAATTGTAATTCTCGGAATGGCATGGAAGAGCAATTCCCCACAATTGGGTTTACCTTCACATACCCATCTGACACACTGGAATGAACTCAATTTATTTATTTATTATTATTTATTTACAGCTTTTATATTCTGCCCTTCTCACCCCGCAGGAGACTCAGGGCGGATTACAGTGTACACATATATGGCAAACATTCAATGCCAATTTTTGACATACAAACATACACAGACATATACAGAGGCTATTTAACTGGCCGCCAGGGGAGCTGTCGCTTTCATCGTCCATCTGTGACGCTGATGAAGCACTTCCACATTCCCCACATGCTTCCCCTGGAATGCTTTGCTGGAGTCTTCTTTATGGCCTCATAAATCAGTTAATTTAGCCTCCCCACACTTATTTTCCTACTTGACAGATGCAACTGTCTTTCGGGTTGCAAAGGTTGACAACAGGCTACACACAATTGGTTGGAAACCCACTCCAACCCGGGCTGGCTTCGAACTCATGACCTTTTGGTCAGAGTGATCTTAATGCAGCTGTCACTCAGCCAGCTGCGCCACAATCCCGGTGCTTTTAATTGTGGTTCATTGTTTCTCTTATCATCATGTAATGGGCATTGTTTTTAACCTGGTTTGCAGTCAGGCTCTGGTTTGGAGTTACTTCTAGAAAAGGGGCATGTACTTCTGTATGCCTCTTTATTAGGCCTTTATGCTTTTTAGGCAAATGTTCATGTCATTCCTAGACACCCCCTGTGTCTCCATCAAGCAGAGACAGGCAATTTGTGGCCTTCTGGACATTGTTGGACCGCAGCTCCAACCATCAAAGTCAGTAGCCAAAGTTTGTGGGAGCTTCACTCTTAACAGCATTTAGAGGTCCATGTGTTGGAACATCCCTTCCATCTCTTATTTCGTTAGAAGCTTGAGCATTAGCATTTCTTGTTTTGAGTGGACCGAAACACTAAAGCTACTTTCTGCCCTGTAGACAGCCACGAAATGTGACAGCATGACCCTGACTTTAGGGCCCTGGCTGGGTCTCCCGGCTGTACCCGCAGTGACGCTTTACAGACACGAGGATCCGTCTTTGGTAAGCCTTCGTCCTTTGAAGATACGCTTGCCACTTATTCCAAGCCCCCTTGAAAGGTCCAGGGCACAAGCAGAGATTCTTAACGAGCAAGGATTTTCTCGTTAATTTGAAGAAAGCTTGTGCTTACTGTGGGACTCCTCTTAGCAGGTCAGCGAATGAGAACTCCTTACTTTAAAACAGGCATGGACCAACTTTGGCCTTCCTTCCAGGTGTTTTGAACTCTCACAATTCCTAACAGCTGGTGGGAGGATCGAAGTTGACTCAGCTGCTTTAAACAGAAGCAGCTCGTTGAATGTTTCCTATGCGCAGAAAACACTGTTAGATATGTGGAAGATGGCAAAGTTTAAGTCAAAATATAGGGTCACTGTTATGTCCAGATTTAGGATGCAGGAGGTGGCTACCCAAGTAACACTGGATAAGATTGTCCCTAAATGAAAGCATTCCTTGGGTGGTGGACAGTAAGGTGTTTGGGGAGGACATTGGCAGGGATTGCTTGTTCATGGTGCTCGCTATAACCTGAAATGTCATTGGAGGGAGGACTTTTGGTGGCTCCTCAGCACTGCGGGTTAAAAATGTTTGTGGAAGTGGGGGCCCCAGTCACACACACACATACGCATTTTCACTCAACAAGACTCAAAGCGACTAAAAATTTAAATTGCACTACCCCCCCTCTCTCCCCCCCTCTCTCTATATATAAGCCTAAACTATCTAAACATTAAGTAGAATTAAATATGGGACTTGTTAAAATGCATAATTACAACCATCAAAACTATTAGAAACCTGTTAAAGTCCAGCTTATTTGTTTGGCACTGCTTTTGGTGGCCATTATTAAATAGGAAGAAGGGTTATCTAAATTCTTCATATACTGGTACTTGATGGGCACTGTTTGGTTGGTTTTTGTTCCTTCTTTTTTCATGAGCTGTAATACATCCTGAATATTAGGCATAAAACAGAATACAAAAATATTGACCAAATTAAAAGAAGTTATGTCCATTGATGATGATACAATTGTGCTATAATTCATGCTTCTTGCAGTCTTTAGCAGCAGGCCTGACCTCCAGCCAGGCAGTGGACAAGCTCCGTGCTCTGCCCCTATGGCTCTCCTTGCAATATCTTGGACACAACGGGATTGTTGAAAGGATAAAGCATGCATCTCAGTTGGTAAGAAGCTGCTGACGTCCAGGGTTTTTGTGCCATCTTTGTTGCCTGATATTTTTGATGACTTTGTGACATTAATGTATTTCTCAGTAATGACAAGAATTAGCATAATGGTTTGAGTGTTGAAGTTGTGCTCTGAGGAATCATAGTTCAAACCCATTGGGAGGTCTTGGGCAACTCACAAGGAAACAGCAACAAACCCCTTCCAAATAATTCTTGTGACAATTACATTTACCATCTTTATTCTGTTTGCTTAGAAAAAATCTTCTCCCCTTCCCGTTTTCCCTCTTAATTTTTAGAGTCAAAGACTGTTGGAAAACTTGAAGAACCAGGATTTCATTAAAACCTCGGTAAGTTTTTTTTTTTAATCCATATTGAAGCTGAATCTTTAATAATTTGACATGCTGTTAACTGCCTTATTTAAATGACATTGGGATTTATTCCAGGCGGATGAGCTATTTATAAGAGAAGTTTGTTTGTTTGTTTTTTACTGTTTCAGTAAGAAGAAATGATCATACAAATACACACGTGACACAGTGGCAAATTCTAAATAAAATAATAATAAGGAAAAGAAAAGAAATTAAAATCAATCTCAGCACAATTTTTTTTCCGCGTCAGGAGCAGCTTGAGAAACTGCAAGTTGCTTCTGGTGTGAGAGCCTGTGGTGGCACAGTGAGTTAAATCTTTGTGCCAGCTGGACAGAAGACCAACAGGTCAGGGGGGATTAGCTCCCTCTGTCAGCTCCAGCTCCCCATGTGAGGACATGAGAGAAGCCTCCCACAGGGATAGTAAAACATCTGGGCATCCCCTGGGCAATGTCCTTGCAGACGGCTAATTCTCTCACAACAGAAGCGAAGAAGCACAAACAAACAGGGATATAAATGTTCTGAGCCGAAAGTGCAAAGCTGCGGTTGAGACATTTTAACAGTTCTTTGACTGCATAAATATTGTGTGCATTTGGCTGTTCTTTTTCTCATTTCGTGATGAGAGAAATTATTATCTGGCATTAGTGGCAGTGGTACAGTTTTCTGGTTTTATGGATAGATTTGATCCAGATGTTTTTGGGTCACCACTACTAGTAGTTGAGGATATGGTGTTGCCTGGAGAGTTATAGCTTTTCCCAAGGCTCATTAAGGAGTTTGCTTTGTTCTGTATGGAGCATTAAGATCTTCTCCCAGTATTTTTGGAATGTAAGTTTTATTCCCCCCCAATTTCATTTTTAAGGTTGAAGATGAACTTAGCTCTCCTGTGGTGGTTTTCAAATTTTCCCCAGAATATCTGCATAAAGGTGAGTATTGTATAGAGAAAATTGCATGTAATCACATTTGGCACCTTCCTGAGTAAACAACTCCCTTAATGCTGAGTTTTAGTTATTAATACTGACATATGTGTTACATAGAAATGCTTCTGTTATTTGAGGGAATCTGTTATTTTCATTTTGTTTATTTCATGTCAAAAGCATTGCATTGCATAAATAAGTTTAAAACTGATAAAATAAAGGGATCACAAGCAGCTAAATAGTCTTAGACCAAAAACGGGCAGCTGTGACCACACTGCTTCGGTGATATTATTAAAGAATGATGATGATGATTATTATTATTATTATTTTATATCTTACCCACCTCTCCTCTTGGCTTGATGCAGGTTACAGCATAATTAAAAACATAAACATCATCAAAGTTCTATAAATACACATATTAAAACATATTTCCATAAAGGATACACATTAAAAGTATTTCTATAAAATACATATTAAAATACACAGAACAGAGATTAAACACAGGGCACGTGTTTAAAATACTGTGTCATAGCCAAGCTTTTCCAAATCTAAGTTCATAATGACATACCTGAACATCATACCATGTGATGTTAAAATGTTCTCTATAGATTCAAAGGGAGAGGTTGAAGCTGTGCCCTCCTGTGTGCGACATGCATTTCCTGTGCTATAATCTGTTTCCCTTTTGCTTCAGATTCAGATCACATGTTACAAACTACACAAATACCTCCAATGACTGGAAATGAGAGATATATCTGTGATACTTTTAATCAGTGGGTAGGTACTAATGTTACTTGCTGTTTTCCAAACTTGGCAAAATGTAGCCACCTGGCTTTGTTGAACTTCAACTTCCGTGTTTTCACAATTGGTTATTCTGTCAGGGCACATTTTTTTTCCTATTCCTAGATGCACAACCTGTTAGCAGGCTGAAACCATGCAAACAAACACTGATCTCCAAATTATTAAACGAGAATATGTCACAGCTTTTGCTCACAAGCTTTTGCCTTTGGCCCTATCTACCAATAAAAATAGCTTCTGAGAATGTCTCTGAAATCTAATTTGGCCCATTGACAGAAAGCAATTTTTGCTTAGCTCAGAATGTACTGATTATTTGCAAGAGTGCTGACTGTGTTGATCTCTAAAGTTCATTGGTTCATTGGTTTTGCCATTGCTTAGGGTTTGAATTCTTTTGTATTGGCTCTACTGTAAGCAGCTTTGAGTCTTCTTCGAGAGAAAAAGCAGGGTATAAATAACCATACCAACAACTTGTAAAAAAGCAATGTGTAGTTCTGAACACGTGAAATGAAGAATTGTCCCACTTGTTCTAGCCCATAAGCAGGGAAATATACATGTTCTTGTCCCATGTGTAACGTTACCTCTTGTAATTGGCCCATTTTGGATTCTCTCAGTCGGTAATTGCCAGACCGAACAATAGTGATAATAAGCAGGGTACAACATTGTTCAAACAAGAAATGACACATTATTAAAACATATACCACATGATTAAAACAACACTTCCATGACTGTGTCTCAGCAACAAATAGTTTCACAACAATTGGAACTACTCAGTGAGTATTAGAAGAACTAAGAAACCTGAATTATGTAGATGAAAAAGCCTATACAGGTAGTCTTCGAGTTACAGACTTCCAGCTTACAAATGATTCCTAGTTAAGAATGGGGAAGCGAGAGAAATCTCCCCTTGTAAGGAAGGGAAATCCACTCCTGAAAGACTTATCATGGGGAAAAGATAAAACTCTCAAGTTTTATCCCCAGTCCTTTTTTCTACAACAAGCCAAATTATCGCAGGGACAGAAATTTGAGTGACATCTTCTGAACAGGGAGGGGTACAGATAGCAAAGGAAACACCACAGGGGTCTTTGCCCTTCCTTATTTGATCCAAACCTACAGACCCTCTCTTGTTCGTCAGTTGGGGACTGCCTATATTTAAGAATAGAGAGCAGATTAAGTTACAAAGAATGGGGGATCCTTCAACCTTTGCTTGTCTCTTCAGCTGGGAGACCAGTTGGCCCAGTTGGTGCCTGCCAGTGGGGTCGACATTGTGGAACTGGAGGATGAAGGCACCTGTGTGCGTTTTAGCCCATTAATGACTTCTGCAGGTAATTGTGCCACTTGTTTTGTAAGGATTAAAATACTTAAATGTGAGATATATTGCTGCCTTGAAAATCCTCACTAAATCAGTATGCCTTCTGATGTGTACAAATGTGTTTTTATGCCATTGAAACAGGATTCAAATTACTGCATAATCTCAGAGTATTACTTTCCCCTATGCATTCTTTGTTAACTTACTTAAGTGGCTGGTAGAGAACTTGTTAATCTGAAAGTTGGCAGTTCAAATCCGTGAGTTGGGGTGAGCTCTCACTGTTACCTCCAACTCCTGCCAACCTAGTAGTTTGAAAACATCCAAATGTGAGTAGATCAGTAGGTACCGCCTCAGCGGGAAGGCAAACAAGAAGTGTCTATGGACAACACAGGCTCCTCAGCTTGGAAATTGAAATTAATATCTCCCCCAGAGCTGGGGTTGAGCACTACCTCCAGAAGCCGGAGGTGAAAGGGGAAGCCTTTGTTTTTGTCTGTGAATTTCTGTCTCGTATCCAGGTCCAGGCATTGAATGTTTTACCTGTGTTAGTGTTTGTATGTATACTGTAATCCACTTGTGCCCTCGGGGAGATAAGGCGGAATATAAATAAATAATAATTATTATTATTGACACAAAAGCACAGTATGTCACAGCAAACGAGATCTATATGCTGGATTTCGTATCACAAAATCACAAGTCGAAGACTTCCCAAGCGTCTAGGACTGTGTGATGTATTTTCGAATGATGCGTGCAGATCCAAGTAAGATGGCCTTTTGCAGTTGACAGATCATGATTTTGTCAATGTTTATTGTTTCCAAATGCCGGCTGAGATCTTTTGGCATGGCACCCAGTGTGCCCATTACCACTGGGACCACCGGTACTGGTTTATGCCAGAGCCTTTGCAGTACGATTTTGAGGTCTTGATAGTGGCTGAGTTTTTCCTGTTGTTTTTCCTCAATGCGACTGTCACCCAGTATGGTGACATCAGTAATCCAGACTTTTTTCTTTTCCACAACAATCGTGATGTCTGGTGTATTGTGTTCCAAAACTTTGTGAGTCTGGATTCGAAAGTCCCACAGTATTTTTGCATGTTCATTTTCCATGACCTTTGTAAGTTTATGATCCCACCAATTCTATACTGCTGGTAGGTGGTACTTGTGACATAAGTTCCAGTGAATAATTTGGGCCACAGAGTTGTTCCTCTGTTTGTAGTCCGTCTGTGCGATTTTCTTGCAATAACTGAGGATATGGTCCATGGTTTCATCAGCTTCCTTGCACAGTCTGCGTTATTATTATTATTATTATTATTATCATCATCATCATCATTTGTTGTTTCTTGGTGCCCATATGTGAGGTTAACGTGTGCGCGCAGAAAAAAACCCATAATGGTTCGGTTTTTTAGCATCTTATGGCTGCCTAATGATTTGAGAGGCTTTCAAATACTCAGCGCAATGCTCTGCCTTTGTGCAACTTTTAATGCTAATGCATCCAAGTTCTTCAGTTTTAGGAACAGAAGTGCAAGATGTCGACCAGCTGGTGGACTGCTTGAAAATGAAGGTCCCGGTGCTGACCTGCACCCTGCAGCTAAGAGATGAATTTGAGCAAGAAGTGAGAAGGACCACCAGCCTGACTTTTGTTGAAGATCTCAGCTGGCCTGGACTTGGAATCATTAGGTGAGCAAGTCTCTCCAGGTCTTTTAAGAGGATGAAGATGAGAATGGGACTGGCAGGAAATGCATGGCTCCGTTGTCCCAGTCTCCAGAGCAGCAGAAAAAACCCACCACTTTCTCCTCAAGATTTAAATATGGCTCTCATATCTTCTCTCAGCCTTCTCTCCTCCAAGCTAAACACCCCAAGGTCCGTCAGCCATTGCTCAGAGGGATTCTTGACTTCCAAGCCTTGGATTATTTGGATCATCCTTTTCTGGATACGTTCTAGTCCTGAAATCCTAATCTGTGCAACACTGTGATTTTTGACCCTGGGTTATCAATGTCATTTCCTAATTGGTTCTATCTCAAAAACATGGAAAAAGTTTATTAAGCTGCCAAAACTTTGTTGCTGTCTGCACATTCAAAGTTTTAAAATGGCATATTTTTATTAAGGAGAATTACAAACAAAGTGCCTAGACTGAAGGGAAAAAATAATGAATACATCTTTGGTTACAACAGGCATGGGCAAACTTCGGCTCTCCCAAGTGTTTTGGACTTCAACTCCCACAATTCCTAAAAGCGTACCAGCTGTTAGCAGTTGTGGGAGTTGAAGTCCAAAACACCTGGAGGGCCAAAGTTTGCCCATGCCGGCTCTACAACATGCAACCTATACGCATTCTAAACTAACACCCGCTAAGCTAATTTTTAAACCTCCCACTTGCTAGAGAAATTGATTAGGCTTGATTTGATGCTTTACTTTTTCTTAAACATCATAAGCTTTAGCACAGCTGGTTAACCACCAGCTGCAATTAATCTTGCCAATTGAATGGTTGGCAGTTTGAAGCTGGGGTCGAGGGTGAGTGTCCGATCTTCAGCCCAGCTCACTGCCCACCTAGCAGGTTGAAAACAGCTAGTGGGGAGGTATTTTAATGACACAATAAGGAAATACCAGAAAAATGCTGGCAATTTGATTAAGAAGAGAAAGTCTGTGAACGGGGCTCTTCGGCATGGAGGATGGAGCAATAACACTGCCCCTCCAGCCCCTGTGACCAGAATTGAGCTCAACCTCCAAAATGCCGAAGATGGAAAAAGCCTATATACCTCTATCTCTAGGAGCCCCTGGTGGTGCAGTGGGTTGTGCCAGCAGGACTGGAGACCAACAGATCAGAGGTTCAAGTCTGGGGAGAGCACGGATGAGCTCCCTCTGTCAGCTCCAGTTCCCCATGCAGGGACATGACAGAAGCCTCCCACAGGATGGTAAAACATCTGGGCATCTCCTGGGCAACATCCTTGCAGACAGCCAATTCTCTCATACCAGAAACGACTTGCAGTTTCTCAAGTCATTCCTGACATGGAAAAAAACAAACAAACCTCTATCTATGTACTGTTGTCTATATTGTTAATGTAGAATGGCATTGAATGTTTGCCGTATATTTGTTCTGTGACCTGCTCTGAGTCCCCTTTGGGGTGAGAAGGGTGGAATATAAATACTGTAAATAAAAATAAATTAATACTCTAGCTCTCCTCCTGCTCCATGATCGTAAGCAAGTGTTTCTTTGCCTAACACGGAATCTGCCTGTCTAAAAGACCAGATAATTCTTCTTGAAAAACAAGTGCCCTGCTTTCTCTTTAAAATGATTGCAAAAAGTGTTTGTTTCCCTGGTCTTTCTATGTAGGTATGAGGGACAGAATGAAGACAAACAAGAAAAAGACTTAGAAAAGATTAACAGTGGACTTCTGAAAAAACTGAACGAGCTAGAATCAGATCTGGTGTTTTCTTTAGGTAATTTACTATTAAACTTCTCTGTGTGGGTCGGGGAGCTTCCTTTTCTGCATTAGAAGCATTCCATAGATTTTCCAACTATAGTAATTCAATTTTCTCTATAAAGCCAGAAATAAAAATTGCATTTGTATTTTTAATTTTTGATCCTGACATAAAATATATCTGATATATCTAACACCTTCCAACAAAGCATTCCCCCAGGCAGCAACCATCCAGGCTTTGAAGCTGCAAGGCCATTGAATGCTAATCAAGGTGGCCAATTGCAACATTCACATTTGCCTCAAACAGACAAGAGCTCTTTCTCCTACCCTGAACATTATTCCACAGGTATATAAACCCCACTTGCCTAGTTTCCAGCAGACCTCACAACCTCTGAGGATGTCTGCCATAGATGCAGGCAAAACGCCAGGAGAGAACGCTTCAGGAACATGGCCAGACAGCCTGGAAAACTCACAGTAATTCAGTGATCCTGGCCATTAAAGCCTTCGAAAACACATATCTGAAGTAAATAGAAAACCTATCAATACTTGCCTTAACTCTTTTATTTTTGCCTATTACAGGTCCAGAATTTGGAGGGGAGAAAAACTGTATTTATATTGGGATGGCCACAGAGGATCTGGATGTTTCTGAGCTCGTTGAGACTATTGCAGCAACAGGCCGTGAAATTGAAGAAAATTCAAGGGTACGCACTGGAGCTGCAAGGTTACAGACTAACTGCAGTGGCAAGATTGACTCTCCTGCCTGTTTCGTAGTTTATACTACTCCAGATTTGCAAATTGTAAAATGTCGTCTTCATAGTGAATTGCCATGTCAATAGAAACATCATTGTTAGCTTAGATAGGCAGGCCATTCAAATCTCAAATTATAAATAGAACTCACCTTCTGTTTTTAGGTGTAACTCTTCCATTTGGCCATGCAAAGCAACAAGCCAAACCCCAAACCCCTTTCCCTTGCACTTTGTCAAATAATAGAGAAAATGACCTCCTTTCAGTGGCATCGTCAGAACCAGAAATATAAGCAGCACATGTCAACACCAACTGTTTTTTTTTCTTCCCTTTATTGAATCAGCTGCTGGAAAACATGACCGAAGTTGTTCGGAAAGGCATAGAGGAAGCGCAGGTTCAGCTGCAGAAAGCGAATGAGGAAAGGCTCTTGGAAGAGGTGAGTAGTCATTTCAGGAAGTTACCTCCTTACAGCAGCCTTGGTGCTTAATTTGCATTCCCATTTGTTGTTGTGTTGTTTTTTTTAGGGCCTGCTCCGACAGATCCCTGTAGTTGGCTCTGTGCTGAACTGGTTTTCCCCGTTCCATGCTTCACCGAAGGGACAAACATTTAACCTGACAGCGGGTAGGAAGCTATTTGACAGCTTTATTTAACCAGTAGCAGCAAAATCACTGCTCAGTGTGCATTAGTAGAGTTATTCTGGAAGAGAGTTATCCATCCTGTTAGTAACTTGGCCTCTGTGCTCACATTCTGGGCTGGTCTTGAAAGCATTGGGCAGTTCATTGTAGGAAGCAGGACGCTGGAACAAGAAGGATGTTTTTAATCTGTTTTAACAGGGCTCTTTCTCTTAACTATTAGTGAAATGAAGGAGCAAAGAATTTCTCTCCTGTTGGGATATGCATTATATTAGTCAATATTTGCCAGGGCCTTCAGCTCAGCTGGGAGTTGGGCTAGAGCCAAAAATTATGGACATACTTATTTCAATTGAGGAATCCGAGCCTCTGGGTCCCAATTTGCCCCCCCCCCCCCCAGCCTTTTGGGTTCACCAAAGAATCTCCTCTTTATGGTTTCTCACTTGGTATATATTTCTTCCCAAGACTCCCTGCTACTTCCCATGTCTCTACTCAAGCATTGTTCACTGCAGGAATGTATTCAGAGAGGGGTATATAACCTTTTTCTGAAAAATAGACCAAACAAGAAAGGCAGAGGAGAAGTAGCACTATCATATATCAAGGATGTTTATACCTGTGAGGGGATCCCTAATGTCAGTCCAGGAAGCCACAGCAAACATAATTGTGTGGCCGGCTGAATTCGCGGAGAAGATTGAGATATATACATAATACCAATAAGATGTGATTCAGCAGGTCCATAGTATTCATTTTGAGCAGTGGCTTAATGTGTTGTCGAAGGCTTTCATGAGTTTTCTGGGCTCCAGCAGCATTCCCTCCTGATGTTTTACCCACATCTATGGCAGGTATCCTCAGAGGTTAAGGGGTCTGTTGGAAAATAGGCAAGTGGGGTTTATACACCTGTGGAATAATGTCCAGGATGGGAGAAAGAACTCTTGTCTGCTTGAGGCAAGTGTGAATGTTGCAATTGGCCACCTTAATTAGCATTGAATAGCCTTGCAGCTTCAAGGCTTGACTGCTTCCTCCCTGGGGAATCCTTTGTTGGGAGGTGTTAGCTGGCCCTGATTATTTCCTGTCTAGAATTCTCTGCTTTCTGAATGTTGCTCTTTATTTACTGTTCTGATTTTAGAGTTTTTTAAAAAATACAGATAACCAGGTTTTGTTAATTTTAATGGTTTCCTCCTTCCTGTTGAAATTGTCCACATACTTGTGGATTTCAATGGCTTCTCTGTGTAGTCTGACATGGTGGCTGTTAGAGTGGTCCAGCATTTCTGTATTCTCTAATAATATGCTATGTCCAGGTTGGTTCATAAGTGCCCTGCTATAGTATGTCTCTACATTAAAACTGAATGTGGTGTCACTTCTGTAAATTTGCAGTGTCTCATTTTGTGTATGAATATGCTAATATGAAAGCTGTGGACACATTTGACTCCCAATTTCCATTGGCAGGTTCTTTAGAGTCAACAGAATCAACATACGCTTCTAAAGCACAGGGCAGTGGGACCACCCCACCTCCAACCCCGACTTCAAGCCGTAATAAGCAAAGGTATCCTGGTAAGTCTTTCCTTCTCCCATTTGTAGAAAGAGCTGCTTCCCTGAGCTCTCCTTACTATTTGTAAGAACCAAAGTTGGAGGAGCATTTGAATGGGTCTGGAGAGATATTAATAATAATAATAATAATAATAATAATAATAATAATAATAATAATGCAAGACAATTATTATTATTATTATTATTATTATTATTATTATTAATAATAATGTCTTGCTTTTTTCCTGGATCGGGACTCAAAGTGGCAAACAACATATAAAAAACAAGGAGATCATTCAACAGGTTTATTTGGCCAAATCATCCTGCCGGGTGAGCAAAAGGGAAAAAAGTGCCACCCCAAAACTAAGACAGACCTTAGTTTTATAGTCAAAATCTTCACAATCGGGCTATTTTCTCCAATTCTCTATTTCTTTGTTCCCTCCTTGGCGTCAGCCCTTATCCATATTTGTGCCTGCTTTTCCTCAGCAGCCTGTCCTGCCTCCCCTCCTGTGCCTGCTTGTTACTAGGAAAAAACATTTTGAACTTTCTGCTGTTTTCAGCTGGTAAACTTCCACTTCAGTAGCAGCAGAAATTTTAGACAGGATTTGAAATCTCCATTGGGCTAAAGGGTGGAGTATCCAATTTCTAAATGTTGGTTGTTTTGTCCTCAGGACAAAAGCGGTTTAGGAGGTCTTTGAGGAACTCGGACACGTTCAGTGAGACCAGCTCTGTGAGTCACATTGATGACTTGGACCGTGGAGAACCGCGGTGGCCCAGCGCTTCCCCAGTTGGGCAAGAAGGAAGTCCTGAGCCGGCAGAGCAGAGCGGGCCTCTGGCAACGGAAACAACGATGGAGACCCCAGCAGGGAAGCCCCCGACTCTGGTGGGAGCCAATGGCACTCAATCAGAACAAGAAGTGAGTTTAAGATAAAAACGGAGACTCTGCATATGATGGCTTTGTACAGAAATGCACTCTCTATAGCAGGATCATTTAACAAGACATTTCAAATGTCAACGGTGCCACAGTTAGTGAAGGAATACCAACTGTTAATACACAAATGGAGATCTGGTACAGAGGCTAGCAAAAGGATGGTTTCCTCTTCCTGTTTGCCTTCTTTGTGGGGTTTTGTTTCCACTCTACACTCTAATGATGGTTCCTCATCCTTTGTTCATATTGTCAAGGGTTGTGTTTGCATAGCTTTGCCCCTTTGCAACTAACAGTGAGGTCTTGACTCCAGGCAGCATCTTAATGAAGGATTTTTTGGGGGTATTTTTCAAAATATATTTTATTCTGACATCTCTTGGGTTATTTTCATTTGAATTATTACTTTCACTCGATGCTTTCTGGGAAGATGTATATTAAAATGGGTTTAAATCTGCTCAATAACCCTGTCGATTTCAGCTCTCCTATTTTGAAATGATTGCAATTATCATCACTGACCTTATATTTGTGTTTCGAAATGCTCCAAATTCTCCACGATTTAGCCTCAGGTGATGCCTGGGCACTGCTTATGGAATGTTTTAAATCTCCCGGCTGCAGAATTACAGAAGTCTTATCAAGATAGTATGAAATCTTACCTAACTGAAACGGCCGACTTGCTAAATACGTCATTCCTCACTGTTAGCTGCTGCTGCTGGGAACCCATAGTTTAGTCTTCCCTGGGTTTTTTTTTTTTCCTGCTTTAAGGGCCACTTAGAAGCAAACCCAGGAGGGAAATGCTGCATTTACAGTAATGATCACCCCCCCCCCCCAAATTCTCTTATGCAAGACTTTTGTGAAGCACTTGAATTAACCTGTTGCATGTCTGTGATTTTCCCTGTATCCTTCTTCTTATGGATTTTTCTCACCAGTAGCTCTTCCCTTTGTTTGATATTGTAAATATCCAGAGAAATTATTAGATTATATACACTACTGCACTATTTAAAAAAGGAAAAAAAATCTTAGGCTGCTACTGTAAATCCAAGAACAAGTAATTTGGGAATTGATTTCTTCCTCAGATGAGGAGTTACACCTTCACATTTACGACTGTTGAGCCTGCACCTTGTCCTACAAAGGGACAAAAGTAACCATAATTGTAAGAGTGAGTTGCTATGAGCCAACCCAGGCATGGGCAAGTTTCGTCCCTCCTTCCAAGTGTTTTGGACTTCAACTCCCACAATTCCTAACAGCCTCAGGCCCCTTCCTTTTCCCCGCTTTCGCTTAAGCGGCTGAGGGGGAAAAGGAAGGGGCCTGAGGCAGTTAGGAATTGTGGGAGTTGAAGTCCAAAAAACTTGGAAGGAGGGACAAAGTTTGTCCATGCCTGATCCAACATGTTAGACCTAGATGATTTCTATTGAAATTGCCACGTTTCAACATGGCTGCTTCCCCTAAAAGGGAGCTACCTACATCCCTCTACTCTATTATTAATGAAGGACTTTCCTGTAGGTTAGTAGTTATGACTTCCTCTTTGTGGCCACAGTTGTGTTTCCGAAAAGTACCGAATGTATCCGGAAATTATTTTACAGGAATCGAGGGGATGGGGGAGGGAAGTGCAGAGGATGTGCATCCTTTGTCTATAAAATGCCATTGTCCAAATTTTGCAATGAAATGATTCGATACATTTGGAATTGTGCATCATATTCAGCCAACAATGTGCTGTCACCTAGAACTCATTTTTGATTTGGTACCTTTTGGAAACTAGCTCCACAACCGAGTCCTATGAAATGGGAGATGTATTACACTTGGTGGCAATGCTTCTATTTTGCCCTAAAACAGTGGTTCTCAATCTGTGGGTCCCCAAGTGTTTTATTTATTTATTTATTCCAGATATTTGTACCCCACCCTTCTCAAACCCCGGGGGGGGGGTGAGGGGGGACTCAGGGTGACTTCCAGCCAGCAACAATTCGATGCCCCCAATGTACACATAATAAAATCCAATAATTACATACATTTAAAACATTAAATCATATTAATTAACTAAAATCTTGTTCTGTTTCAGTAACAGCCTAGTGGTTTTGGCCTACAACTCTCAAAAACCCCAGCCAGTTTACTAGCTGTTAGGATTTCTGGGAGTTGAAGGTCAAAACATCTGGGGATCCACAGGTTGAGAATAACTGCCCTAAAATGATGGTTATAGGTGGAAGTAGAATGGGGAACTTCAGACATATAGGCAGTTCCTGGCAACAACCATTCTTGTCCTCATCCAAATAAGCCCATTTTTCAGAGCTCAGCCACAATGGGGTTGTAATACCCTCTGAAACATTTTGTTAATTGATTTAAATCACCAACACACCCACCGGGTTGGTGCCGCTTGTACAGTCCAGTCACTCTCCTCTTCGATATAAGACATTGGTAAATATCCATTTAAATGTGACGAGGTTTACAATAAGTTCACTTTGTTTCTCTAGATAAAAAGTTGATATTTAAACTGCAGATTAAATTAGTGTCTTCCTTAACGTTGGTGCAATTATTTAATTAAATAAAGTCCAATTATATTCACATGGTTTCCTCAAAAGGAAAGGGTTATAGTTATAATCATTAATACAGATTTTAATGTTTTTATACTGTTGAATGGGCAGTTTTGCTGGAATAAAGACCTACATTTCAGTACTTTCCCTGTGCTTCAATAAATGTTCTTGAAATAGTTTTATTTTAATTTGTGTTGATTGAAATGAAATCCTAAAAGGGGAGAAACATGCTGTCATATATGAGACAGGAGGGGTGTCTCATCTTTGAGGCAGCAATCAGGGATGTCTTCTCTTTCACTAGTTTTCGAGCATGTCATGCAGTACCAAAAGGAGAAAGATAGGACTGCATCCATGGTGCTGGATTACTGGAGTTGGAAGGGATTCTATGGAGTGTCTAGCGTCTTCATCACAGTAGAAAAAAAATCCACTTAAAATCTGGTTTCTGCTTCCTGCAGAATTCTGGGGGGTTGTTTAGTGAGGCTGTTAAAGGATCCTCCCTAAACTACAAACCCCAGAATTCTGCAGGAGGCAGAAACCAGATTTTAAGTGGATTTTTTGTCTAGTGTGATGAGGTGGTAGGAGAGGTGCAATATAACCCTATGTAACAAAATATGAAAAAGTTTCTGTTCCTGGTTTGAAAGTGTTCTTTCCTGTTTAATTGTGGGGTCCTTACATTGAGAGTAGCTGTTCTACTCCAGAAACTTCATTTTTGTGGGTGCCACAAACTAGGTTGAATTGCTTGAGACTTGATGAGATATTCATTAGAAAACTAGAGCAAAATGTGCTAGAGTAGGATTTATTTATTATTTATTTATTTATTTATTTGGAGCATTTATTAACCGCCATTCTCAGCCCACTCGGGCGACTCACGGCGGTGTACAGTACAAAAGGCAATTCACACAAAGACAAGTACAACAGCATATTAACCATACAACAATACAACAGTTAAAATTACACTAACTAATCCGCTTCGTCTCGTAATAGAATCGTGACCAATCTCGTATTCCTTGTACCATTCCAGTCGTCTTTACCACATTACTATAGCACTTAATTAAATGCCCTCTCGAACAGCCACGTCTTGAGGCTTTTTCAGAAGGACAAAAGAGAGGGCGCCTGCCTGATGTCTGTAGGGAGAGTGTTCCACAACCGGGGGGCCACCACTGAGAAGGCCCTCTCTCTCGTCCCCGCCAGGCGTGCCTGTGAGGCAGGCGGGATCGAGAGAAGGGCCTCCCCAGACGATCTCAAGGTCCTCGTGGGCTCATAGGCCAAGATGCGGTCTGAATGTCCCTCCCGCCTTTTTTACTCTTTCAGTGTGCAGGCTGTAACAGTTTTTGCAGTTTAATAAAATTTGTCCATTTTTTTGATAGAACCAATTCGGAAATGACATTTATAACCCAGAAACAAAAACCGTGTTACACAGTGTAATGGGAGATTAGAAAACTTTCAAAAAACTAAGTGTTTGAGGGTGGGTGCCATATGTGGACCATCCCATTGCCAGGAAACCTGGCCTATAAACTGAAAAGAATACGTTGCTTTATATAAACAAGCACCTTTCGAAATACTTGGTGGTCTTCTATTGTCTTTGTCTAAGGCAGTGGTTCCCAACCTGTGGTCCGTAAGAACAAAATATGGTCCGCAGCCTCACCATTACTACATCATTGCCTCGAAACCATGCAGCAAGAGTGACCGATCTCACGGAACCCTCTTATAGTGCCGAGGCATCGGAGGTGTCAGGAAGGGAGAGGCTAACTATGCACAAAAGACTACTGGGTGGAATATTTTATGTATCAGAAACTAGACCTGATGTGGTCTATCCAATGCACTTTTCTGAATCAGCATGACAAATAACCAAACCCAATCTAAAGTTGACCACAAACTGATTCTTAACCCTTTTGGTACTAAGGTTGGAGAGTGGTCCCTGGTAAAAAAAAAAAAAGGATGGGAACCACTAGTCTAAGGGCTGTTCTATTCACTGCCCACCAAGCTCATGTTGAATACATTTGTTCTGAATTTTTGGCTTAAAGGGAAACAAGGCAGGCGGGACTAATTTTAAGATGTTAGCTTGCATTTGCGAAAACAGGGAATACAAGCAGGACAAGTGTTACAAGCTATTGATTTGCTATTAGAGCAGGCCTGTCCAATCTTTGGCCCTCTAGGTGTTTTGGACATCAGCTTCCAGAATCCCTGATCACTGGATAAGCAATAGGAGCTTCTGGGAATTGGAGACCCAAAGTTAGGCAGGCCTGCATCCGAGGCTGAGCTTGTAAGGACTAACAACAGAGCTGTTAAAAGCACGTGTATGTGTATTGAGAAACATCAAAGTGCAGTTTCTTTAATCACACCCAACCTGTGGTCCATGTACCACCAGTGATCTGCAAGAAATAAAATATGGTCCGCGGCCTCACCATTACTATAGATAATAACACAGCTCAACCAAAAAAAATTCTTGGTGTCTTCATTTTTAGGCCTGTTCCTGGGGTTATTTGGGGTGCTGATTCAGAAAATTGTATTGGATCAACCACATCAGCTCTAGGCTATTAAATATGGTTTCTGTGACCAAGCAGATGGTGACTACTGGGTGGCATATGTTCTGTATCAGAAACTAGACCTGATGTGGTCTATCCAATGCACTTTTCTGAATCAGCATTACAAATAACCAAACCCAATCTAAAGGTGACCACAAACTGATTCTTAACCTTTTTGGTATTAAAGTTGGAGGGTGGTTCCTGGCCAAATAAAAGGTTAGGAACCACTGCACTAAAGAGACTTTAGCAGATGCTGCCAGACCCAAATGTGAGTAAAAAAAAAAGACACTGGAGATAGGAAGAGTTCAGCTGCACCATTAGCAAGAACTTTGGGCTTCTCTGCAAATGCACAATTGTTCCAGACAAAGAAATACGCACATAAATCTGGTTTAGAACTTCAGATCATGATTATCATTGCTGGACCCAGAGTTGAAATACAAATACAGGTAAAGATACAGGCATCTGCATGCTCTTGACTTACACAGAACTCCTCAAAGACAACAGCAAGGAGACAAAAAAGGAAAGTATACACATCTGCACTTGTATTACAGACATGCTGCTGAGGTTACAAATGAAATGTTTTCTTCACATACAGAACTGTTTCATGTTCAAATAATGTATTATAAAATAAGAAGCATTTCTGAGGGTGGTGGTCAAGACTGCTCAATTGCAAGACATGTTAACTTCTCAATCCCAATCTCAGGGGAAATATCATTACTTAAAATAATTCTGAGTGGACATAGGAGGAGGATGGGGCAGTATTCCCATGGATGGCACAAGGGAGGAGACGCAGCACGGGCTCCAGAGGGAAGACTTCGTTTCTTGTTGCAGGACCCAACTCAATCAAAAATGCACTTCATCTTGAATAATGAGAGATTGGGAATGCTTGCTTCTGGGGGGAAAAAAAGATGTTTGGACACCATTCAGCAGAAGGGAGTCTGTGGTGGACACAGGATAAGACACGAGCAAGATCCAAGTTAGCTCTCATTGATTCTTCCAGAAAAAGCTTGGAAGACAATATCTACATCTAACATTCCTGGGCACCGTGAGGTCTGATGTACGATGTGCAAAAGACATTGCTTGAAAGACAGCTTCCAGAATTACACAACCATCATAAAACCATGATTGCGAAGACTTTCTGGAAGTTGTAGACCAAAATAAATAAATACAACAAGCACAAATCATAGGCTCTAGTCTGGTAGAAGTTGCAGCCCAGAACACCTGAAGGCTATTCACAAACTGTCTAATCTTCAGCAATCTTAATTCAGTAAAGCCATTGCTAACTATATGTTGAGATTCAGCTTTTGAAGATAATGGTACTATGTTCCCATGAAAGTAGGTTTGACAGAGCTCTTCCTAAAGTGAAGCTTGGAGGGCGCCCACTTCTTTGGCACGACCGCACTTGGGGAGTTCTCTCAGCTTCGAGTCTTTAAGTCATCTAGATCTGATCCGTAGAGACTCTCTCCCATAAGCCATCACTGTTTTTCCTGTAAATCCATGGTCTCCTGCTAGGGAAGAGGGTCTTGTCGGGAAAAGGATGCTCTTTTAAGTACATTAGGGTCGCTCGAATGTGGGAAACAAAATGAGGAGGTTCGGCTACCGGCGAAGTGGAAAGATTCTGCAAAGACAAAAAACATACAACTTAGAGCAGGGATGATCCCCAATACAATAAACGTATTGTTTTTTCATTTTTATATACACTCTACAAATAAGACGTGCAGTGTGCAGACAAATTCATATATGTTGTTTTGAAACTGTAGGGCCGCAGTAGCACAGTGGGTTAAACTGCTAGCTGCAGGTATTCTGCTTACTATAAGGTTGGCAGTTCGAAGCTACGAGTCAGGGTAAGCTCCTGACTCAGCCCAGCTTCTGCCAACCTTGCTTTTAAATTTTGTTAGATTGTAGCCATTCTTGTAAGCCGCTCCGAGCCCCAGGGGAGTGGCGGCATATATGTTCAAATAATAAATAAATAAATAAAATAGTAGTTCGAAAGCATGCAATGTGAGTAGGTACTGCCTTGGCGGGTACCTACTTGCTGGCAATACAATCAGATGTCTATGGACAGCAGGCTCCTCAGAATGGAAAAATGGAACAGGAGTACCTCCACACGCCCAGAGTTGAGCATCACCTCTAGACGCCAGAGATGGAAAAAGGGGAAGGCCTTTACCTTTGTCTGTGCTGTATGTCATTGTTCACTGTGTGTAAAAGGCATTGAATGTTTGCCTCAGATACACATATTATAATCCGCTCTGAGTACCTCCAGGGAGATAAAGCGGAATATAAATAAAGTGTATTATAATTAGTGTATTAGTCTGCCCCCACAACTGCTTGGGAGACCCTGAAGTGGCCCTCGGCTGAAAAGGTTTGAAGAGCCCTGACTTAAGAGGTACATCTTTGCCTTCCTACAACAATTACACAGTCCAATCAAAGAAATTCTTTGTATCTTGCTTTTTAGGCTTGTCCCTGGGGTTATTTGGAATGCTGATTCAGATAATGGCATTGGATACTGTATGAACTCTAGTTTCGTAAATAGGGTTATCCTGATTGTCTCTGGGCAAGGAGATGGCGAATGGAAGGTCGTCAACCCCAGAAGGAATTATCCCCAGGATTTCTCAAATATGTTCTTATTCTCACTGATCCTATAATTACCT